GGAAAAAAAAAAAAGTGGGGGGTGGGAGGAAAAAAAAGAAAGGAAAAAAATACCCCACCCTGGAGCTTATGTTTTCCTTAAAAAGGTGACCCGGCAGCCCCCGGGGTCCGTGTCGTGTTGTGATACGATGCTCACCCTCTGCTCCGAGAGGAGCCGGGGCTGTACAAGTCTGCTGACCTCGGAATGATCCCTCTTGCCTATGAATTATTGATGAGATATGAGCTCTGATTTCTCTTTTCAGTATGCAAACCCCATTATACTGTTAAAATGGCGATTTAATCGTTTAGAATAGCTTCGCTTTTTTCCAACTCATTTGTGCCCCTTCCTTTTCATTTAATTCTCTTAATTAAATCCTTTAACAGATTTTAATCACTTTTTGTTGAATAAAATAAGGCGTCATACACATCTGCAACTAGGTTACCTTGGCGGAGTTTGTTTTTGGTGGGGTTTCTTTGTTTTGGTTTTGGTTTTAGTTAGGGCTGCTTGCTTTCTTGGTGGAGTCTTTAAAACCTGGGTGGAAGGAGATTTTATTTTGTGTTACGCCTTTCCCAGAGAGCAGAGAAAGTCTGGAGTGCACAAATGCTTATAAAAAAAATCCTACAAAAGAAATAAAAATAAATAAAGCAGTAACATTCAAGCTGGCCTGACAACGGCGTTGCAACGTCGAGCTGCCTTTTGCATCGAAGCTCTCCCCCAAATCCTGACAAAGGCGTTTCCCCCCCTCCCCGTTTATTGCTGAACTAACCTGGGAACCAAGCGGGTATTTCAGGGGTGAAATATCAGCTTTTTCTACCTTCCCCAGCAGCCTGGGCATGGGGGGGTCCCGCGCCTTCCCTGGCAAGGGCCCTGGGGAAATGCCCCAAAAGGCAGCTTGAGAGGGGGCTGTAATTAAAATACAGATGCTCAGCTCGGCTTTTCCAATCAGTGGAGACCGCCATGGGTCTTGGGTGAGAAACAACCGCTTTGGAGTTTGGCTTTTTTTCCCTCCAAGGTGCCAGCGAGCTTTAGATGCTGTTTACTAAACGAAATAGGAAACCTCCAGGGACAGGGAGAGGCTAAAGAGACAAGAGCACGGGGCAAAAAAATAGGCAAAAGTGGATCTGCTTGCACCCATTTTTAGTAAGTGCGAGATGCTGTGAGCCAGGTGAGCGCACGGGGAGGCTCCTCCAGACAGTGGTAGACTTTGCAGGTTTGGGGCAAACAGCCCCAATTTACCCAGGCCACCCCCGGCCCCAGTTTTGGAGAGTCCTTAAATCAGAGGTTTTCCCCATCTGCACCTGGAGTCATGGCATAAATGTCTGCACAACGACAGGTTTAAATAGAGATCTGCCTTCCTAGGCATTAATCATCTCCTAGAGATTCTTCATATTCTTAAACCCGATATGAAAGCATTTCGTATTCATTCTGTCTTCTCCAGCTACAGAAGAACTAATCACCCCGTGTCTGATGTATGCCACGAAAGTGGGAGAAACGACGGAAAATGCAAAGGAAAATCCCCGCCTACCTGCACGGTCAGAGCTCCGCTTTCCTGTTTACTCTCCTTATACTTCCTTTTCACCAGCAACAGGGAGATTTC